ATGAAATCAAATCGTGGTTGTCTTTGAAAGATGCACTTGCATCTTTCAACAATAGGGGAGGAGTAAGGTCTTAATTTGTTGAAATGATGCAAGTGATTTGTAACAGCCTGGAGAAAGAGCTAGAGAGTCTTGGAGGCTAATGGTGCCTAACGCCAATGGGTGTGGGCAGAGGAATTCCTCATCCCTCAAGGTTAAAGAGAAGCAAAGCATTTCTAGGGCCAATGATTTTGCTAGGAATTGTGAGATTGATTGTACCTACTGTGTGTAGCATTCCTACATTCCTTTGTAACCTCCTACAAATGAAAAACCTTTGATTATATGAAAAGTAGCATCTTTAGAAAAAAGAAATAGGAGAGCAAGAAACAAATACTCAGAACAAAAATTTCAGAAGAGAGAAGTAGCCATAGGGTCAGCACCCGTAACACTGTTTCATTTGTCTGGCTGACGTCCAGTTTCCAACAGCGGGGAGAGGGGGATGGTGGTTAAAATAGTAATGACCAAAGTATAGGAAGATTGGAGCTCTCCTCAGAAAAAGTGTTACCATGACCAAATTGAGACTGATTTGGGAAATTAATTTTTTGTGAGGTTCCTGAGTTTCTCTTAAATGCTGCATGCTTATAGGGCAGAAGATAAGCAGAACTATTTCCCACCCCATCACCATGCTTGGGCTACCCACTCCCAACCCAGCAATTCTGGCTTCCTGCCTTAGCCTCAGGGACTCAGAAGTAGGTTACATAGATTATATAATGCTACCTTAGCCTTGTCGAGGAAAGGACACATGCATGACTAATGCAGTTCACTCGATCCTTTTATATTTGCTCTAATAAACTTGTATTCTGAATGAAATTCTGCATGAAGCGAAATGATACAGAGTTGGAGACAGAGAGGGATGTAGATGGCTCAAATCCTTCCTCCTCTCCCACATAGATGCCAATATCCATGGGCGAAAAATGTGACAACTAGGAACAAAGAGAACTTTTGTATTTGCCTCAGTAGAGAGCACTGAAATGGAGTTTTAGAATCTGCTGAACCACTTTACCCTGTAACTTCTCATGATAGGACATTATGTTCCTACAAAGTTGCCCTATTACTTGGAATTTTTTTTAATATTTAAGGAGAATTATAATAAAAGCAGTTTAATGTAAGATTTGTCTATTCAAATTTTTATTAACAATAAAAAAAAGTTGCCTAAATGTTCAATTTGCCATGTATTCTTAAAATATTTGAAAAATACTGATGGCAAAAGAAAGTCATTGAAAATATGAGAGTCTGTAAAATTAGATTTGTTCCTATTAATTTTCTAATTAAAGGTGAAAATTGTAAGTTTTATTCCAGAGAAAGAAAACATAAAGAAGGAAAAATGAAGGCAAGGAAGGAGGGAGGGAGGGAAGAAAAGAAAAAGGGAAGGATGGAAGGAAGAAACCAAGAAACAGGCATTTACTGAACACCCACTAGGATTCAAAACCATGTGAGGCACTTTTATTAAGCGTTCTCCCTGTTTTGTTCATGTAATCCTCACTACTACTCTTTGGACCCCATTGTATTTCTGGAGGGGAAAGCAATAAATTCAGTCATATTACGTTTGACATTTATGACATGACATAGATGCTAGGAAGACAACATAAATCCTCCCACAAAATTTGGCACAGATATTGCTCTATAGGAATTTTCTTTCAAAGGCTTGCTTTTGATCCATAGCCATTACATTTCCTGGCACTAGATACTGCTCTGGCCATGGAAAGGAGAAGCTCTGTAGATTGGCCCTCATCCAAAGTAAGTGATGAGTTTGGCTGTTCACAGTTAAGTGCAGGACTCTGTCTGCTTTGGCAACATTACCTGGGTTCATGTATAATGCTGTTACAAAAAGCAAGCCTGAAGTAGTTTTCCTGGATGACCTTCAGGTAGGTTTTAAAAAAAAAAAAAAAAGAATAATCTGACACCTTTTAGCCTTGGTCTGGAAGTGATTCAGGAAGAAGAGTTATCAATAGAAAGAAAAATTGGAGGGATGCCTGGGTGGCTCAGTCAGGTAAGCATAGGCCTTGGGCTCAAGTCATGAGCTCAGGGCCTTAGGTTCTCAGCAGGAAGCCTGCTTCTTCCCCACCCCCCACCCTGCTCCTGTTCTCTCTCTTTCTCTCTCTCTCTCATAAATCAATAGAATCTTAAAAAAAAAAAAAAAAAAAGGATAGTTTAGAAAAGGGAAAGAAAATTGGGGCCATTTGCTATGTAACTATAGGAGAAACTTTGTGAAGATTTCTGAATATTTCCTGTGCTTAGAAACAGGACAAAACATGGGCTGTCATAACACCTTTCCAGGTAGCTTGAAATTAATCTGCTCCCTTTCTATAATTTTCTTGGTTACCTTTGCAGCTGCCTCTTGAGGTCTTAAACCATTCCACTCTCCCTAAGAAACCACAGTGTTAAGTACCTAGTGTAAGCAAGAGAGTTTCATTTCACAGTCAATTACATATAGCTTCAAAGCAGTCTGCCAGTCAAAAAATAGGCACTGTGCATTTCCTGTGAAGAGTTAGTAGATGAAACTAAAAGATTACTAGATAATCAAGATTAATGACAGATCTACCAAAACAAACAGAAAACAAGATTGTGTATATTCTTTACTATCTTCGTTTTGTTAGATCTTCATTAATGTATTTATTTTAGGCAACTTGCTTTGGGTACTGTGGTCACTGGTCACTGGCTCACAGGTGTGGAAGGTAGCAAAAGGACAATAGGATGGACAGAGGAGATGGAACATGAGACTAGAAAAACAGCATGGCTAAGTGGATAAAATGAGACATGAGAGCATCTCAGACCTGAAATTAGCTTCTTTTCTTTACTGAATTAGTCACAGTATTAAGACTGTCAAAGAAATAGGTAAAAATGACAAAGGCTCTGTAGCAAATTGTTTATGAGAATGACAATGTAGATCGCAATATTTATGGGCTGTTTTTGAAGGTAGAGCCCTGTCTAGGGCACTCATTTTTTTTTATCCTTATTAGTCTGTTATAATTCATTGACAGATTGCAGCTCAAAAAATATGTTTGGAGCAGTTTACCCCTTGGATATGCATGTTCAGAACAGTCTGATAAAAATGAAATTAGTCTTCAATGTTTATCTTACATTTGGGACGCGAAATACACGGTCATCTTCTGCCACTACAAAATGGGGCTTGCTAAGTAGTTATGTCGGCTTCATGCCACAGCTCCGATACCCAAACAGCTGTTGACTTTGGGGTCACTGTGTTCGTAATTAGCATTAGCAGCCACCTGGTAAATTAACACATTTCGGTCATGGCCCAGATAACCAAAGAGCTAGACTTCCAATAGCCATCATTATCTTCAGTGGTGATTCAGACATTTTAAATACTCTTTTCCACCCACTAAAAAGTATCAGTCTGCCTTTTTTTTCTTTTTTTTTTTTTCCTTTTTTTTTTTTTTTTTTTTTTTAAGTAGACTTTATACCCAACGTGGGGCTTGAACTTACAACATTGAGATCAAGAGTCAAACACTACACCAAACAAGCCAGCCAGGTCCCCATATGCCCTTCTTAATAGAAATTATTTTTGGTAGAAGTCAGACCATGATTTTTTAAAGGAAGAACTAGAGAAAATGTGTAGATTTCTCAAACGATGTTGCCTACCGTGTGTTATATAATCTTTGTAACAACCCTTTAAGTAGCATCCATTTTAATGTAAATAAATCTCAGAGATTTTAGATGACATATAACAGAATTACTGATCTGGTATTTTAAGTTGCATCTTCAGAGGTGCCTGAGTGGCTCAGTCAGTTGAGCGCCCAACTTGTGATTTCAGTTCAGGTCAAGATCTCAGGGTCATGAGATGAAGCCCTGCGTTGGGCTCTGTGCTGAGCATGGAGCCTGCTTAGATTCTCTCCCCCTGCCCCCTTCCAACCACACACACGTGCCATCCAAATAAATAAATAATTGTTAATTAAATAAATTGCATCTTCAAAGCCTAAATATGCACACTCGAAATGCTAGAAATCTAATTATTTCAGTCACTGCTTAATGTGATCAAGGATATCCTTGCAAATGGAGCAGTGTTTTCTTCAGTGCTCTGTATTCAATAGGCTAAACAGATTGTGGTATACGGTCCATTAGAAGAAAATCAGAGCATGTGGTTCCCAGGATGGCTTTGTTGCTTTTACATTTTACTTGATGAACTAAAATAATGAACATATTTTTATGATTCAGTTTAGTTTTTTGCTGCTATGTCAGTCCCACCCAGATTGACTACCAATTCAGGGGTCTTATCATTACAGTCCTCACGTTTGTCATGGGCTTGCGACTCTGAATATAAATGGAGACTGTGATCCTGTACTACTCAGGACTTCAATTCACAGAAACACACAATCCGGTTGCATCAAAACAGGAGTAATTCTGTTGCAGCAGAATCTACCACAGTTGTATGGATAGGACAGACCACCCAGTGGAATTTCATACTTCTACTCTTAGGTAGTTACACAAAATTTCCATCTTTAGATTAGGTGGTTGGTTAAAGGAATGCTTACATCTTACATATGCATTTAAATATAATTTTGCTGACTTGTTTCAGAAAGGGGGAAAAACCCATTTGAGAAAGGGGGTAAAAACCATTTGGACAATACTTACTTTTTGACTGTGTTAATTCTTTTTTTCGTTGTTTCTTTCTTTCTTTGTTTCTTTCTTTCTTTGTTTCTTTGTTTCTTTGTTTCTTTCTTTCTTTCTTTTTTTTTTTTTATTAATTAAGTAGGCTCCAACATGGAGCCTAGTGCAGGACTTGAACTCACCAACCCTGAGTCAGTGACTTAGTCGACTGAACCACCCAGGTGTCCCAACTGTGTTAGTTCTTCTTAAGCAGATTGTTAATCATCTTCTGTCTTAAGTATGATTTTCCTATAGTTTGTTTATGTCGATGGCTCTTAACTAAGTTATAACATGTTTCCAAAAAGCAAATGGATTTGGAACTCTTTCTCCTTATGTTTATATTAGGCTTTATTTTAAAGGCAAGTGAGACTGCTTTGAATAAAACAACTCCAAGCTTCCAAGAAACAGTTGAGAAGACAGAGACAAGCAGAAATACCCCTTCACTAACACTCACACGGTTGCCATGGACCTGCATAAGCAGTGGGAGAACACAGAGGCTAACTGGCACAAGGAAAAGATGGAATTACTGGACCAGTTTGACAACGAAAGGAAGGAATGGGAGAGTCAATGGAAAATCATGCAGAAGAAGATAGAAGAGGTACAAATTGATTTGTTTTGAATACGTTGAAACTGAAAGCTCAGAATGAAAATTCTGTTTGAGATTCTGTTGTACTGGAAACTATTTCTGTTTTCCTTATTCTACCTAAGAGATGCACATCGAGTCTCAATGACATTTACTAGACCAAAAATAGCAGAACCTTATCCAGTGGTATTGAAGAGACTAGGTGTTTTTTTTTTTTTTAATATAACCCTGAATGAAAATTAAGAACTTAAATGTCACTCTAAAGTGTAGCAATTTATTATTTTCTGACTAAAGTGACTTGGTATCAAAAATGAGCTGTTTTTAAAAAATGAGTTTTGGTTATTGTTTTTGTTTTTGCATGAATTTTCAAGCACAAGGCCCAGGAGGAAAATGTAAGAAAAATGTAATTGGTGGAACATATATTAGCAAAATTACAATTGGGCTTTAAAATACAGATCTTTCCTGAAATGATTTATGAATCATGTCTACTAAAGGAAATTACATATTAGATAATTCAGCATAATGGAGAGGAGTGTCGTATATCAAAATGGTGGTGGACATGATATTTATTCTGGCAGAATGTGCCACATTTATTGGCACATTTGTTAAGAAAAGGGTTATGAAAAACAACATGTCATGACTCTGACACAAATAGTCATTTTATCCCCATTAACCATCCCTCCCTGTTGGCCCAGGAATACTTTCTTCAAGTATTTACATTGATGTATTTTTGAGCTGGTTTCAACTGAAAATTATTTCTACTAATCTTGCTTTCTTCTAGTGCCATCCATGTTGTCATGTGGTTTGTGCACGTTGCCAAAGTGATACTTTTAACAGACTCCTTGGCCTATATTCACAGGCTATCAAAGCTGGTGCTTTATGTGTTTATAGTATAAATATTTTTCTTATTAACAACCATGTAATTGCTTGTGAATAAAATACAAATCGGCACACTACAAGGAAAAATTAAAAAGAGTAACTATTCAACTCTTCCTGTAACAGAGCTGAGAAGGCAGACATGTAGTGTGCTCATACCTCTGTAGTTTGGAAAGGATGTTTTGCTTATTCTCTTAACTCCTCTTTATCCAAAGACTAAGGGTGGATGAAAACAAGGAGATGTCTAAGTCAAATCAGAATCCAAAACTCCAAACAGAAACCTGAAGTCATGGGTCATTGTTTCCCAAAGGTTTGGAAGACCAGATAATTCTAGCATCTAAGCAAAAAAATAAAAAATTAAAAAATTAAGGAGTCAGGATTAGTCTAGCCAATTGTTTAAGCAATAGAGCTAAAATAATCTGCTGTCTGGTGAGACATTGTATTGTTGTATTGTCAAATAATTATTCTCACAACTCCGAAGATTCTATCTACGGTAAATATTAGCCTTTTTGATGAGCAGTCATTAAATGTGTTTTAAACATAGGATGATAGTTTGTAGAAATACTGTTCTTTCTGCATCAAGGAGATAGAAGGCTGTAATATTTTTTCTTCATCTTGGATAGTAGCCATGGTGCTATTTGTGTCTTGCCTGAAATATACAGCCCCACTGCTGGGAGTATGTTTGCATAATGTGTTTCCCCGGAATATCCATAGATAATGTTCTTTCATACCTGAATAATAGCATTGTACTCCCTTTATCATACTAATACATATTTCTTTTCCACTACCAGCTTTGTAGCCCATAAGAATGTACCTTTAATATATCCGTCTTATAGGCTACAAACGAGGGTAGAAAAATTTGAGGAAAACAGGAAGAAAGTATCCTCACATGTCCGAGAATCCAGAATTTTTTTAAACTTAAATTAAACATTAACATTTGAAAAAAATTATAACATTCCGTGAGCATAATAGACTGTATTTGTTTAACATATATCACTAAATTGTGCGTATTAAGTCAGACACAAGTTATTAATCCATGTACTAGAGAATTGTGGGTTCCCAAATGTGCACATGTGATTTGGTTCCAAGAGATCTCTTCCAGTGGGAGGATCCAGTGTTGAGTGTTAAGACAAATGCTAATGGCTCTTTGCTCAGCCACTATCCACAATCATTGCACTGTTATTGCAAAACCCAGATGTATTTGGAAACCTGGAGTAATCCAGATAGAAACCCTAAATAGAGGTCTTGGCTTCTGGAATTCTTTTTCTTTCTTTCTTTTTTTTAATCACATTGCAGTCTTTTCTGCTTGTCATCTTTGTTCAAATGATCAGAACCATAAACAAGTGCTGAGTATGAAGTAACACAGATTTTCTTGTACAAAATAACTTTGTTTTCTATCAATAAGGTATTATTTGTTTATCTGTATCTCATTTAAATCCTAAGAGAATTTAAGATGGTATATAAAATTTTACATAAGGTAAAGTATTTCAGAACAAAACAGAACAAAAAGATGAGTTGAAGACAGGAGGAAGGATCTCATGTGAATTACATGCAGCAAGTCTATCTTTGTAGTAACAAAAATTAGAAGTTGCATGTTTCTCAGTATTCAGAAGACAAAGGCAAACCTGTTTCCCAGGAATAGTACCTTTGTCCCTGATTTTGAAAATAAGGCAGTTTTGTTTTTACCCATAGCTCCTTAAAAAGCAGACAGTGTCACCATAAGCATCCTTAGATTTAACATAAAGTTTTGAGGGTTGCTTTGTATCAGATCTCTCAAGGTCAGCCCAAATCATAATGCCCACAAGAGCTCAGAACAAGTAATTTTATGAGGACAAAAATGATTGCTCCATGGCTATAATTTGATGCTATCCTGAGATCATCCAATGATAGATGTGTATCTATGGAAATATATGTACTGTATAGACTTCAGCCACCAACTCAGCATAGTGCTTCTCTCTGAGGTGTGAGTAAATATTGAACAGGAGTATTGTCCTCCTTGAATAGATATAGGTTGTGGCCATAAAATGTAGTCATTTGCTTAAATAGTTATCCGAAAAACTCCTTTGAAATTTGCCAAGCTTTCCCACAGCTCAAGCCTAAAGAGGAAGGCTACTTACTTCCTATATTTAGGGGTGAGTTGTGTGAGTGCCTGCAGGTTAAACTAAACTCTCATCAAGAGATAATTTAGGATCCACTTTAACAGACTAATAAAAGATGGAAGCCTTAGAGTTCTCATATCACAAAGGACAGGTCACATGTGTTTTAATCAGGAGAAGAAATCTTTTTATTTTTTTAAGATTGTATTTATTGATTTAACAGAAAGACACAGCAAGAGAGGGAACACAAGCAAGGGGAGTGGGAAAGGGAGAAGCGGGCTTCCCGCAGAGTAGGGAACCCGATGCGGGGCTTAATCCTAAGGCCCTGGGATCATGACCTGAGTTGAAGTCAGACGCTTAATGAGAGCCACCCAGGTACCTGAGAAAGCTTTTTTGGGGGAGAAAAAAAATCTCTTCTTAAAAAAAAAATCTCATTGGTACCTAGCAATACCTTAGTAACACCAACATATCTTCCAATGGAAACATCCTTCAGCTGCACAATGTCCACTTGGGGAGTGGAATGAACTGGAACATTACATGATATTGTCAACTGTTTAGACACTTCGCCATTGGCATGCAAGTAGAATCATATATTTTTAAAACATCACTTTAGTTTCAGTTAAACCAGATTTTATTTATTTATTTGACAGAGAAAGAGAGATATAGTGAGAGAGGGAACAGAATCAGGGTGAGTGGGAGAGAGAGAATCAGGCTTCCTGCCAAGCAAGGAGCCCAAAGCAAGACTCAATCCCAAGATCCCGGGATCAAAACATGAGCTGAAGGCAGACACTTAACGACTGAGCCACCCAAGTACCCCTGACTGATCAGATTTTAGAAGCACTACTCAGAAGCATGAGCATTAATACCCCAGGGTAGTTAGTATATCATGATATGGCAAAGAAAACTCAAAATAGTGTGCTTGGTATGAAAAATATTGACCAAGTAAATTAGGAGGAGAAAAAAGCTTTATCTTTGTTTTCTTTGCAGCTTTGCCATGAAGTAAAGCTTCGGAGGAAAATCAACATGAATGAACGTGCTAAGATCATCAGTCACGATCGCGAGAAAGCAATTCGAGATAAAGTGCTGGAATCTCCAAATGACCCCAGTTCAGGGCGATGTGAATTTACAGGGATAAATCACAGGGATGGTCTGGAAAAAGAAAATAAAACAGAGCAGAGCTTACTCTGTGAGGGAAATCAAATGTGTAAGGAACAAAAAGCAACAAAAAAATCACAAGTAGGGTTTATGGATCCTTTGGCCACACAGAACCAAAAAGATTGTGAGGCCTGCCCTGGTCCGAGGACTTGGAGGGAAGAGAGCAGGAGGTGTTCTGGGGCCCTCAACTTGGTAAGTAAGACTGTGATTGGCCTAGAACTGTTCCTAAAGAAATATTTACATTTCAAAGTGCTAACGTGCTGTTGCTTGTATGTGTAAAGGCTCTTGAAGAACTTGCCAAAGTTAGTGAAGAGTTATGCAGCTTTCAAGAGGAAATCCGAAAGCGGTCCAACCACAGAAGGTGGGCTGATACATCTATGATTATTTTCTATGAGAAAATCAAGACAAATATTGTTTTCAGTGAATGAATCCAAAGTGCCTCCTCTTCATACTTGGTTCGTGTGAATTAACCATGAATTATTAAAGGGTTATCTTAGATAGGAGATAAAAACTTTAATTGAATATTTCTCTGCTTACTAATTCTCAAACCAAATCTTCTCATTGTCTCCATAATTTGACTGTGAGGAATACTGCACACTTTTGGTGTTAGGTTAAGGGACACTTTCCAGAATAACAAGTATCTTCTTGTGTAGTTCTTTCTCATCTTGAGTGTTGGCTGGTGGACGAGTACACAACGGGGCTAATCCAATTTAAAATATCTTCAGATTTAACGATGTGGAGTTTTAATTATATAATGATGTTCTAGTGGAGTATTTAATACTTAAGTCATTTATTTCTCTACATTTACTATGTATATAATGGAAGCATACATAATTCAAAACAACCTATTTTAAGTATGCATACACACATATACAATGAGAGTAAATGGTGCTATTTCAGTTTAGAAGCACCTATATAATTATAAAAGTAAGTTTTCACCAAATTAAAAAAATAAATTGGAATTGTCTACAAGGTAAGTAAAGATGGATTGTTCTAGGATCAACATTTATCTCCTAGTGAAGGAGTGTGTTCCTCTTGGAAACAGCAGCAGTGTTTCTCTTAGCTCTTAGGAATACCCTTAGTTCTCTTTAGCTCTTAGGAAGCTCAGAAAGAATTTTTGTATTGACTTACAATAGATTTTTTTTATTCAGCCATATTTTATACATAATTTTGCCCTCTACCTGGCCATTTTGCTTTTGCCTACCATTCTCCATTACTGAGTATTTATCTGCACTTTACTGTATTCTATCCTGTAACATTTTACAAGCAGAAGAGATATAAATATGATTTACATTTATCAGTATGATCAATTTAACTTGTGAATTTATCTTGTTGCTTTATTTAGGTTTTTTGTTTTGATTGAACTTAGAAAAGACGCACTTGCCAATTTTCTTTTACAAACCACAACTCGTATAAAGTTCTCCTTGTGACTCCATACACTTCAGAAGGATAGTTCAAATATTGTATTTGAATTAGTATGTAATACTAATTCATTACATTTACATTACAATTTAGCCTAATATTTCTTTCCTCCTTCCCACTCTGCTTTATGATCCAGCTATACCAAAGTACTCTCTTGTCCTTGAAGAGCCACCTATTTTTACTGTAGCTCACTTTGCCTATAGGCCCTTTTATTCACCCCCAAAATTCTTTTTTTTTTATTTTAAAGCTAAAATTTTTAATGTTTATGGAAGCTACATGTTTGTCTTGAATTAAATTGGGGGAATCTTCTCTGTTCTACTCACTGAGACTCAGGCTTGAAAACACATCTCAGTCTAACATGGGCTTCCATGATCAGGTCAGCAGAAGAAATGGGGGTGGGGAACTCTGGAAGGTCTTACACCAGCAATTTAATAATCTAGCTTGGAAATGACCCACATCATTCATGCTCTCTGGTCTCATAGTTTCACCTCTATAACTGGGAGCCTGGAAATTTAGTTGCCCATGTTCCCAAATGGAAGAGATAACTGGATTTCAATGGGTAATGGTAATAAGTAACACATTCTGCTAATATGTTCATCAAATACTTTGTTTACTCTCCTATACACATAAGAATGATATGCACTCCTCTCCGAGGATCACACCCCAAAAGTCCCAATTAGACATGACATTGAGAACTATTCCTTCAGTGTACTTTTTGCTGAGGCATTTTTTCCCCAACCAACAGAATTGACTATTCAGAGGTTTTTTTGTTTTGTTTTGTTTTTGAATTTCTTTTCAGCGTAACAGTATTCATTGTTTTTGCACCACACCCAGTGCTCCATGCAATACGTGCCCTCCTTACCCACCACCTTGTTCCCCCAAACTCCCACCCCCCATCCCTTCTTACTTTTGTTTCAAACCCAAATGACACCTTCCACTTGGTATTACTCATGTTTCACTGAGCTTGTATTCATATTTCTCTCACACTGCTTAGTTTAGAATGTCATTTCAAATCCAAGAGAAGGAAGTTGAACTCACATGACATAATGACTAGGCATTCAGTAGGCAGAGCAGAGATGAGAAAATGGTAGAAGGGAACCTGTAGAAATGGGAAGACCAGTGGCAGATACCCCAAAGACTCCACAGTCTAGTCTGAGTGTAAGAGACAGTTTGGGAATATAATGGAAAGATAGCTTGGGTCAGAGCATGTAGAACATGAATGTTAGATTGGGAGGTGGGCTTTATCCTTCAGGAAAAAGGACTTGGAGGTTCTGACTAGAGAATTTATATGAAAATGTTGTTTGAGGAAGTTGGGAGTCCTTTTCTTATTGCAGAAATTCATTGCTTAAGCCATGGTTTCTTTTGAGAACTCATCCTAAATAAAATTATCACTAATATATCATGTTTTATAATTGTTTAGGATGAAGTCAGATTCGTTTCTTCAGGAAATGCCAAATGTAATTAATATGCCTCACAGAGACCACATGGTCAATGATGGCCAGGGCATTCTTCCCCTCAATTTAGAAAAAGAAAAGCAGAAAAATAGGAAGAACCTAAGTACCAATGTGCTCCAAAGCAATTCTCTGAAGACATGTGAACTAGATACAATTGATCTGCAAAGAAATGAAATTCCACCACTTCCTCCTCCAAGAAGCACATCTCGAAATTTTCCCAGCTCCTATTCCGAAAAAGCTCATGAAAGTTTGAAGGAAAGTTTAGATCACTGCAGCCACGTGGCCCAAGAGGGTCAAGATGAAAGGAACTGCAGTTCTGATTTCCTTTTGAGGCACAATGAGATGCCTATCCTGTGTCTAAATGAAGGCAAGAGTTTGAAAGATGGTATCATGTCTCCTTCTTTGGCCCCCAAAGCCAAAATAGGTAACAAGCCTTCATGTAATGAAAATGTTGGACTTAGCATGTGGTTGTATGACCCTGGGATCAGTGCAAAAAATAGTCCCTCTCCATTGTGGTTTCAGAAAACCTGCTTGACTCCCAATAAGCCAAAGTGTGAAAAGATGGTTCCAGATCACCCTACTAAAGCTCATCCTGATCTGCATATAAGCAGTGACTATAGCTCCTTGGTGACAGAGAGCAGCGGCCCACTTAAAAGTTTCAGTTGTGGCTTTAAGAGGACAACTAGGAATGAAAAACTGGCAGCAAAGACTGATGAATTTAACAGAATTGTATTTAGAACAGATAGAAATTGTCGGGCAATACAGCAAAATCAAAGCTACTCAGAATCATCTGAAGATCTTAAGCCCTGTGATATCTTAATTACTCATACAGGTAGCATCTCAGAAAATGACAATGTGTCTGATATTCTGAAAACCAGTGTCCACGTGCCTGTGCCCAGAGAAAATGTGCCTGACAATCCCACCACAATATCCACAACAGGCCTTGTTAAACCAACGCAGGAACACATGAGCACCAGCAGTTACCGCAATATGCTCCAAGAGCATGACTGGAGACCCAGTAATTTGTCTGGTCGGCCAAGATCAGCTGATCCTAGGTCAAATTATGGTGTTGTGGAAAAGCTGCTGAAAACCTATGAGACATCCACAGGATCTGCAGTGCAAAATTCTAAATGCATCCAGGATAACTGGACCAGATGTAATGCTGATGTCAGCAGTGGGCCCACGTTAAGTCAGCATTTAGAAATACTTCAGTTAGAACAAGAGCTTCAGCAAAAGCCAACTGTGTGTGGAGCACAGCAAGTGAAACAAGGAGTAGACTGGAGAAAGATAACAGAGGTGAGAAAGCAATTAACGTGCGTTGGGAGGACTGTGTCTACATGCAGCAGTGACTCTGAGTTCAATCAATGGCCCATTTATATAAATAGAATGTAGGCACATGGTTTGGCATCTTCTTAATTTCTTGATCCTTTATTTGTGAATAAGTGTAAATTTTAGGATTGTTAACACAAACCTCTTAAAATACGGATTTTTAAGACTGCGAATAGTACCTTACAACTTCTTTAAAATTTTGAAATGGGACAACATAAATAAAATAAGTAGAACCAAGAACCTCAAGAAGATCCAATGTTTGCTGTTTCTTTATTGAAAAACCATTCCAAATGTGCATTTATTGGTTTATAGAATTTTATTCTTTTAGTGTTTATATTTTTAAAAGAGTATTGGAAATATTTTAAAAATAATTTCTTGCACTTTTCAGTTGTTGGCTATGATTGGTTCAGTCATTCCCAACATTTGATTCATGTTTTTTCTCATGGGATTAGTCACATGGATGTGACTATGGGTCTAACACATTGTAAAATAATACTTTATAAAGTTCTCTTTTTTTTTGTGGAGCAGAAAGGCAGTACATGGAAATAAAATATTATAGCTTAAAATTTTTTAAGGTCATTCTTATTGGTGTAAATTCCTAACATGAAAATTGTCCCCTCCCAAAAAAAGTATTTAAATAAACTGTTATTCTTTTTTTGTTCCAGTCTGTTTGCAAAAGGATATAGTTTTCCTTAGCTATAGGAGTAAAAGATAGTTGAAGAGATTGGTATTTATAACAAAGAGCTATTCAACAATCCCTTTTTATGCATAATTTACAAAAAGTTACATGGTGACAGGTTGTTATAATTAGCTAATATTTCAAAAAATCATACTTTTGCAAAATTCAGTGTGTATGCAATATAGTTTTAAGCTATGCAGGTTGCCTTCTTCTGGTGTAAAATAAATTATTTTTATGTGGCTTTCAACCTCATAAAAATACCAGTTTTTATCCATCTTACCAGAAACCTTGCCTATTTGTACAAGGTACAAGTAATTACCCTGGTTTTGTATTTCTCCATTTTTTAGTTGAGTCCATAAATACCTGGGAGGCCTGTAAGCTTCAGATGGCAAATGGAAACACGTATAAGATACCGGCTAAATACTCATCAGCTACATTTTTGCACTGGTAGCAGGGGTCCTCTACTATAGATTCTTAAGTGTAGTTTTGCATCCCCTCCCCAACCTGTGGGAGCAAATCTAAAAAAAATAAGATTCCAAAGACAGAAAAAGAAATTTCAGGTTATTGTCATAGAAATAGAGGCCATCCTCACTGCCCGTCTCAGATGAAAGAGCACAGGGTTTGTTGGGAAAGTCAATAATAATACTGGTATAAAATGTGTAGTGGAAACGTTTTTGTTTTTGTTTTTGTTTTTGTTTTTAACTACAAGGGTCTAAGAATGTTTTTCTTCCATTAAAATAGAAAGAAAAGAAAGAAGAAATGAAAGAAAAGGAAGGGACAGTAAGGAAAAGGTTTTAAGTCATCCAATAATGCCCAATATAGATAATGATTCTGTATTAGCAATGAAGTTATATTTTGAAATATTTTAGTGACAATTTTGAAACTTTTGAGAAGTAGTAATATTGGTTCTTGGTGGGGAAAAAAAGCATCAGATAAATCGGTGATCTGTGTGCGTTTTGCTTATGACCTCTGAAAGTGCCAATAACTTGACATAAATGAGCACAGTTTCTCTTATAAAATATTATCTTTTTGTTTTTTAATAACACTAAACGATCCTAATGTCCCACTAATAAACACATATAGTTCCATCTTCAAAGTTATCTAACACAAATTTTTGAATCCTGAACTCATAATTAGTCGTAAAAAGAGATCAATTGTATTAAAATGTGGCAGTGTGAAAAGATCTACAAGATTATCAAATACCATATTCCTCATTAAAAGTGAGATGCTTTTGATTCAAGACCACAAATATTAAGCAATCACCTTCTTCAGATATCCGTGCTGTTACTTGCTTCTAAATAGCTTAGTCCATCACTCCTGAAGTTGGGATCCATAATATATATTAAGCAATTAATATATTAATATATTATCAATTGTTGGTGCTTGTATAGTGAGATGGATGTCTTCCTTTGTCTCTTAGGAATCCATGGCAGTGAAATCTTCGCATGGAAAAGGATTTTCCCGACCGGCTAGACCAGCAAATCGCCGTCTCCCTTCCAGATGGGCCTCAAGATCTCCATCAGCGCCCCCTGCCGTGCGGAGGACTGCCCCCAGCTATACCATTTCTTTGAGATCCGCAGCATCAATGGTCTGAGTCTCTGGCCTGGATTGCTAGATGACAAAAGTCCTAATTGCCAAACAGAGCATTCCGAGTGTTTACAGCCAATCCTATCTCTTCTCTGTCTTTCAAGATCACTGGGACAAACGATTTCAATCTTAACTTCCCATCAGTCTTCAGTGTTTTTAATCTATGGAATAATTATCTTCCTGTATTTTGATTTCTTAGATCAGAATTTTTTAATGCCATCCTCATTAATTTGCCAATATGATTTTGAGTTGAAACAATGTACTATATTGTATATTCGAACTTTCTTGCAAGTAGCAGAAAGCAAGGTTATGTGCATGGCCATGTGTTTGTAGATGCATGTGTTGCAATGAGAAGTATCCTAGTATGTATTTAGATAAGAAAAACATATGTGCTAGTGTTGACTTTGAAATTATAACCTGTATACCTATGTATCTTTCTGTTTATTTAAAATTTTTGAAAATATACAGTACTATTTATATTTTGTATACCTTTTAATAGGTATCCACTTAAGGCATTTGAGGTAAATATATTAACTGATCACTTTCTGGGCCCCAACTACATTGAAAAATAAGAATTATACACGTTAATAACATTTGGTAGATTTCTAAATACAGCTCATAAATAGTTTCTTAACTGACATAAGGATGGGCTAATACCATTGATTTCCTTGTTCACTCTCTTAAATAAATAAAATTGTCACAGGTTTAATAGTTCAGGCTTCTAAAGCAAACATAAAATGTTCACAAAAATCTTTTGTATATCATTCGGTAGTCTATTATGGCTTTAACTGAATACTTGATCCCCAGAGCCATTATTATGAGACAGCCTTAGAAACAACAGGACTTAAAAATAATCTTATTTTGTCAACTTCAGTAACAAATAATCCTTAAATAGGATATGAAAAGAAATTCAGTTATGTTGAATTCTAATTTTTTGTTAAATTGTATAGCTTTTAGTTAAGCTCCTTTATTTGAAGGCATATTTAGAGGTAAGTCATTTCCTTTTCCTTTTTTTTAACTTTTCCCCAAAATTAGAAGACAAAAACTAATTTGCTTTTTTAATTAACAAGAAATATTAAGAATGGTATTTGATTGAGAGCTGAATTATAATATATTTCTTACAGTTTCTACATAAAAAAAGCCTTAAACTAAACCTTGGCATCCATGAGTAGCATAAGAACAGAAATGTGTATTTTGGCCACAATTTGCATCCAGTGAACACATAAGATCTATATTGAGAACTAAAAGAAGTATGAATGTTGAAGTGCTTGGATTTTTATATGGAAGATCTTAGAAGTAACTTTGCTCTCCATTGTCTCTCTATAAAACCAACTTTGGTATTAGATATGAATTCTATTTAAGCTTTTCTTTATTACCAGAAAGGTTGAGAAAGTCTAGTGACATAAGTATTCAAAGACCTTCTTCTTATGATATATTTTAACAATTAAGAGAAATTCATTGCATTATACATCATGATCTGAGGTAAAGTAAATAATTTCTAAATCCCAGACTGCCTTAAAAGGCTCAAGACTGTTTGTTGTGTGGTGATAGACAGATTCATGTTTTCCAATAAGAGTTTATAAGAAGGAGTTGAGATGAATAAACTGTCTAGAGTATAAAGCTGGAGCAGATAAGTAAGGGCTAGAGACCCACTCTTTTCTGGAATAGTTTGAGGAGAATAGGTATAAACTCTTCTTTAAATGTTTGGTAGAATTTGCCTGTGAAACCATCTGGTCCTGGACTTCTGTTTGTTGGGAGTTTTCTGGTCACTGATTTAATTTCTTTGCTGGTAATTGTTCTGTTCAAATTTTCTAGTACTTCCTGTTTCAATTTTGGTAGCTTATATGTTTCTAGGAATTTACCCCTTTCTTCTAGGTTGTCCAGTTTGTTGGAATATAGTTTTTCATAATATTCTCTTAAAATTGTTTCTATTTCTGTGGCGTTTAGATCCACGCTCTTAATTCTCATTTCTTTCAGGAATATCCTTTTCCATAGGAAACCTATCAGAGAAAAGTAACCTAGACACCAAGTGATGTCACTTACATCATATGCTTTTCATCTAGAAGGGTGGGGAGGAAAGGGAAGTGGTGGTGTACAAGGATGGACCCATTAGGAAGGTGCTGCTGTGTTACATTGGAGAGACTGCCCAAGAATTGGGCAACATACCTGCTTCCCTCCATCACTGTATCCCAGGTAGTCTGATGTGGATCTATGGTTCCTACCTCTAACTACAAGTCAAAACATTAAGGATCTCTTTTAAAAAATTAGATTCCTGATCTCATCCCATAATTACTAAAGCAGAATTTCCAGGGGTACACAGGGGGATCTGGAGTCTTTAATAAAACAATAACAACAACAACAACAACAAAAAGAAAGCAAACATTTGATGATTAAAGAGATTTGGAAGCAGTGACTTTGATGGATGCCCAAACAGATGAGCACCATTGGGTAGTCATGTTACTTCCCTGGGACTTGATTTTATTACCTGTAAAATAAAAGGGTTATATTATCAGGCATACAATTTTAAGTCACCTTTTCTATTACTATTTGAATGAAACATGAGACACATTTTAACATCTTCCTATGTCGACTAAAATCTCATAGAATATTAGAGTTGGAAAAAAGAAAACTTAGTATCTAGTCCAATTCCTTGATTGTTAAGATGAAGAAACTAAAGCAAAGATTATTGAAATATTCTGTTTTCTCTTTTAAAATATTTTATAATTTTTTATGGAAAAACCTATCAGGTAAATGGAAATTATCCTTCAAAAATATTTTTTTATGTATTGTGATTTTTAACTGGTAGTTTTTCTACTTTGGATGGGCATTTTCTTCCCAAAAACATACCCTTCATTATGCTGGATTGAAGACATTTGTAAACATTTCAGAAATATTTGATTAGAAACACTTGTATTAATAGAAGCTTTGCTGAGCAGACTTTTTGGTGGGAAACCTCTTATATTATTTCAAGTGAGGAATCTGATCTCAGAAAGTAATAAGAACAAGGCAGATAAAGTGCTTGAGTTTTTGTGCATGTGTGTGTGCGTGCATGTGTGCTTGTGTGTGCGCGCGCACACAACCCTTGCACGAGTTCTCTATGTTGCCTTATCACCAAAGCCAAATATAAAGATGTAAGTTATGTTTGCATAATTCACTTATTGAAAATTAACCTTAACTTTCATTTGTTTTTACATAGACAATGAAGATGATTAGCTATATCATGCATGATTTACCTCTATAGAGAGAAGGTAACCAGACTCCATGTCATCTTGAGAAAATATGTGGACCTAAGAAAGAGAATATGCTTCCCTGCAGAGATTTTTTAAATTATTTTTAGGCACATTTGCTGACAAACAGCTACTTGATATTAGAATCTCCTCCAGTGATTGGAAGTTACTGAATTAAATAGGTGTGGAGACACGTGTTGTGGCATGTCTGTACATTGAGAATATTTTGATTTTCCTCCTTTCCTATAGCAGTCTCCAGGAAAGCTAAAAGTTTTATGAAGTCTAAAATCAAATATGTCCACAGTTCAGCCTAGCTTCTCCTAAAATATCTCTACATAATAAAATCTAAAAGCCTGCATGAATTCCTGCACTTAGCCACACGTAACCCCAAATAGCTTCTCATACCCTGATAGCCACTCTGCCCATTTAAACCGTTTATTGAATCTGATTAATTTTTGTTTGAAAAAAAGGGTACTCCTCTGAAATTTGCCTTTACATGTGAAGTTAGTTTAATTATTTTAGGTAGACTCAGATTTCTATTATAGTGTTATTTTGCTTCAAATTCTGCATGTTTCTTCTTAAGTAGCAAGTATCTTTATTAGAATGTGCAACTATGACTTATTGTTTGATAGAGCCCAGAATATGCTCTCTCAAAAAATGGGCTTCATAAAGTAAAAAATTAAAACAAACAAAAAACAAAGTTGGAGGAGGCAGCTTTCAGGCAAGTGTCTAGTCAACGTTTTTTACTGTAGGAATTTTTCTTATCATAGAAAATAATTTTCATTCCAGTGGGAAAAAGTAAAAAAATCTGATACATATTGCGATGATCTTTTGAGTCCAACATGTATGATTGGCAAATTCTGGAAAAGAAGTTCTGCTTATATGAAGCTATGATGAAGTCTAGAAATAAAGTCTAGAATAGCAAGGATCATAAAAGTCATGTGAAACAATCCTGAAACTCAGAGGTTTGTATGACGGCCAAGGTTATAAGGATGGTCACCACAGTAGGCTCCAACACCAGTGTCTTGCCTCCCTGTATGCCTGCGTGCATCTATGACTTGATGGTTTGCAAAGCACACTTATATACCTTGACTTGTTGACTTCTTCCAACAAACTTCAAGGCAGCCTTTGTGATTTCTAATTACAGATGGAAAAAATAAATAACCAAGATAATAAATATTTCTCGAGATAATACTGAGAAATAAATAGGTGGGTCTATGGACTCCTCATTCCGACACTTTTCCAAAAAAAGAGGAAGAGGAAGCAAAGAGTGAAGTTCTTTTTCACTTACATTTTATGCATGGCAAGTTGTTTATTTTGATTTTGTTGAGAGTTTCTCTTAATTTTGCCTTTCAGTCTTCTTAACCAAAGTTCTTCATTTTTATATGGTTTCAAAAGATTATTAAAGTCATGAAGAAGGCTCACTTTAACAAAATATGTTTCTTTCTTTTGGTGCCTATGCTCTGAAATTGTGTAAATTTTGTATGTGGGCCAAAATCTTGAAGGTAAACTGATAAGTAGCCAAAGCAATCCTCATCTGTAGTACCAAGTGAATCCTGATCTCCTCACCCTTCAAAAGAATCACAGAAAATTTTCATACTATATGGCTTAAATGTATTCCAGAATAAATGAGAACATTTCCCTTGGAACTTGCAGTTATTTCCAATTTATAATCTTACTCCAAAATAAACTGTATCCGCCAATTTCCTTTTGAGGCTTTATTCTCCAATTAAATTATGTACTTATGTAATTTTATAAAAAATCATTAAACAAATTCAATGTAGCTGTTTGGGATCTGCAGAGTTTTCTTTCTATATAACGTCATTCAGCCTCAAAATAATGCTAAATTGTCTAACCTCAATTATATATTTTAAACTTTGCACAAAATTTTGTGTTACAATTAACCCAGTTAACAGATTCTCTAAATTAATGATCTCTAGAGTGAAATAGTTAATGCACAATGAATGCCAGAGAACCATTTACATTATTTTTTAAAAGAAGTTACATGTTGGAGTAAAAGGGAGCAATAGTTGCTATATGCTAAAATTCAGGAGGTAAATTATGGGGAATAAAGTTTCTTTCTGGGAGATCCCAGGCAAGGAGAGAGGAGCTAAGACTAAGCATGTCACCTTGTTAAAAAAGAAGTGAGTGGGGGCATAGCACAGGGAGCCAAAGCTAGATGAATTCATGACTTAGTTCAGCAAA